CTGTCTCTGTTTCTTCTCTCAGACAACATAGATGAGGCAGAACGTCAGTGGAAGGTGGAGTTTCACCGCTGGTCTTCCTACATGATGCACTGGAAGAGTCAGTTTGACCACTACAGCAAGCAGGAGCGCTGCACTGACCTCTGAGCGTCTCAGCGAGGAGACGGCGGAGAGAAGAGCGGCGAGCGAGCCGTGGCTGTTTTCCTCCATAGTTCCTGAGTGAAGGCTGACATCTTTTTGTGGTTCTTTTGGTTCACAGCATACACAAGCAGAGGCACTGTTGTCATTTATTTATATTATTTATAATATTTATTGTTTTGTTTTTTTTATCTGTGTGTCTGTGGAACTTAAGGGCTGTGGAGTAAAACTTGTCATTGGAGGAGTAAAGATGCGTCATTACCTCGAATGTGTGTGCGTAACTATGTGTGCGTCTCAGAAACCGCCCAGTTTGACTCAGATAACTTAACTGACCCGTCACACTGCTCCACTACGGATTTACTGTAACCTCACTCGTCTTTTTTTGCTTTCTGGGGATTTCTTCTTTCCAACATATCAGTTGTATTTTTGGTCTCATCACTGTTTCGTTTCTCTTCTATTTATTTAGTTATTTTTATTAATACTGTTACAACCACTACTCCCATTACCTGTACTGGTCTTGCTTTGTTTGTGTGTTTCTCCTGTGGTAAGCCATATACTATTTTGCATTTATCTAACTGTTGCTGTGTGTGAAAATATCCGATTCCTCACATTTTACTCGATGTTAAAACTGCTGTATTCTAGTTTGATGTGAGATGTAGATAGTATATTACGTTCAGACCAACTGACTGGTGCCTAACTCGCATTATATTACAAGTTCGCTCAGTTTCACAGTTGAATGGAAACAGAAACGAGTCCCGTTGATGTTGATGGGTCCTCTTGAGCATCGCCTGTCTGTTGAAGCGCGTCAGTGCTCAATTCTTCTAAATGTTCAGCCTTCCTGTGAGGGTCAATTCTTCTGCACAACTGCACTGAGTTGTGCATGTGTGCGTGGCCACCCAGTGTCCTTCACAGGGATCCCGTGTGCCACTCGTGTGAGCTCGGTCTTTCTTTTCCTCCTTTTTTCTGTCACTCATTCTGTTTGTCTTCCACCACAACAACCCTTCATCCAGTCCCTCTCTCCATCTTCCTTCCCTTTTACTGTCCTCTCCACTCTAGTCGTCATCTTCATCTCTAATAAACCTCCACCCACCCTCATTTCTTTCTTACTGTTTTCCTTTATCCATTATTCCCGCCTCTCCCTTCCTGTTTCTCACTTTTACGTTAGGCCTTTTCCATTGCTCGTTTGTTTCCTTTCGCTCCCTCCTTTTAGTTATTCCTTATTCATCATCTGCTGTATCGGTCCCTCCTTTCTTGTCGGCTCTGTTACATCACTCCCCCCATCCTCCCCTGCGTTCTGCTCCCTCTCCCATCCCCCTTCCTTGGTGCTCCTGCTTTGTTGTTAGTCTAATGGAGGTAGAGTAATTCACTCAGCTGCAGGATAATGTGACAGAGTACTGGCTCAGCCTCTGGCCTGCTAGCCAACAGGACCTGCTGAATGCAGAGGTGGAGAAGTGATGGGAAAATGACAGAGAAATGCACTCCTATGTCACAAAAGTAATACAGATATGCACTGATCATTTGAAAACTCAGATGTGCATTTGGTTACATCCAGTACATACAGTTCGATCCTGTGATTTGGTTGCAAACACTCATGTGTAGCAGCATTCACCTGCATTTGAAAAAAATCAAGAAAAAGACTTTTAACCTTTAACTTGATGCTCACAATTTTCCCGTTTCTGGGTGCTTAGGTGACCCAAGCCGCCTCTTACTCTTACTTAATGACGATAATCTTATATTTGCATATCTTATGCACAAAGAAGTCGGAGCCTGCATCGTTCCCTGTGTTGTGAGCATGTTATACTGAAGAATCAAGACAGTTTAGTCAGATTACAACCTTGTTTGCGTAGGATCCAGACACTGTTTGATCCCCTTATCTTTGTTAAGATATGTTGCCTCATGAGTAGGGATGCAACGATACCAATTTTTTCAAACCGATACGATACCGATACTTGGATCTGAGTACTTGCCGATACAGAGTACAAAAAACGATACTTCTACCACACACACACACACAAATACAATTAATTGGAAGACAGGTTGTATTATATTCCCTGCCGATAAAAAATAAAATCTTAATAAAAATGACCACAAAAAAATGTCAAGTGAAAAATAAGCACTTCTGTTAAATTATTGCAGAGTCTCCACATTGTAATTTTACAAAATATCACTGAACTATTGGCACTGTCTCCAGCTTTCAGAATAATAAATAAACACTTCTGTTTGGAATAAAATAAATACAAATTAGGTTTCTGAATAAAATAAATTTTTAAATTATTGCAGAGTGTCCATATTGTAAACAAACAAACAAAATAATTATTATTAAATAAATAATAAAATATAAAAAATTATAAAATAAATAATAAATGAAATAATAATTGGCCCCCTAGTGGCCAATCTAAAAACTACAACAGAAATGACAAGCCACCCTCTGATTAATGAAATAAGTTGGTATCGGTTAACTCTTATGAGTATGAGTACACACACATTTTACAGTATCGGCCCCGATACCAGTATCGGTGCATCCCTACTCATGAGTTATCATTGAGTCTGCAGAGCATTAGTTTAGCAGTAAATGATTCACTTTACATCCAGTTGTCTTGTTTACACAAGACCTGTGATACGAGCTCGTTCAGCTGGCAGGTTGTTATTCATCCATATTTTCTGCACACTGAATAACTTGTGAATATCTATTAAAGTAATATTTGCATTCAAATCTATTATATTCTACATTTAAAGTATAATCGTGCAAGACTTTGGGGCAACTCTGCCTGAGTTATGAGTCACTACCACCCATATCACTGTGTATGTATGTGTGTGTTATCACTGTACTTCTGTCAGCCTTTCTTACATTTCCATTTGAGTATTGTGAGGGAGCTGAAGCGACGCTCTGATTAGCTGTTGGCCGCCCCAGCACAGTGTCCCCGTTGGCATGTAAAGCTCCTGTTTGTGGCTCAGTCGTGTAGTCTAGCTTTAAAAAGAACTAAATATGACAAAAAAAAGTATTGTACATGTGTAAAATACCAGTAAAGAGTGCATGTTTGAAAGGCCATGTGACTGACACCTCCTCCCTCCAGCTCCTCTCGGACAGAGAGATCCTGCTTAAGCCACTTCTATCGAGTCCTTGTGCATGTCCAGAAGCCCATCATCTGCAGTATATCCTACCAAACTCTGACTGTTATATTCTGTGAAATTTGTACTTTCAACAAGCCTATTATCCAGTATCTCATGTAAGGTACGTTTGATGTTAGCAATAACAGAAATGCATCAGTAAAGGAATATATTTGATATTTAACGCAGTGAAAATAAAACGTGATAAAACGGCAACGATGAGGGACAGAGTCATTTTAAAAGCAATATTTATTCAAAGTATGAACTTAATATGAGTGCCGATGACTATTTTCTTGTATAAACTGTTTGTTTGACTCCTTTTCAGTCCTCTGCCTCGTCGTTGTTTGTTTCAGTCACTAGTACTGTAAGTGTTGAAGGCTTCTGTAGCTTCCCAGTATGTCTCTGTGTATGACGAACGCTGACTTTATTAAGCTATAGCAACAGAAATAAAGGGAGCCTGCTGTC